TCTCTCTCTCCTTTCAATAATAGACCCTCCACAGATCCTGTTCTCATCACACTGCACCACAACAGAAAGTCAGCTCGACTGTTCCTGTGAGACTCTGGGAAACCCGTCCCCCAATATACACTGGTATTTGAATGGACTAACTGTCAATCACTCTAAATGCGAAATATTCAATGAGACTCTGAACAGGACAATTCTGAGGAGCTTCTTCACTCTGACTCAGCCTCATAAGAAGAATCATCTCACCTTGATTTGTCGCACCGTCAACTCTCTGGGCTCGGCCAGTCAACAATTTTGTGTCAGCACCCAACAAATTTCCACAGAACATCAACGTATGTCTTTTGTACACATGTAAATATTATTGCTTAAGTTGTATGTGTACTAAAGTGGAGGCCAAGGATGTTTGAAACCTTAGCCAGTGATACAGTGTACTCTACAGACCCCACAAACAGATAATGTTAGGATTACATCTATGCTCCTCTAGGATTCACTTGCAATCAATTTCTTTGTAAAAAGTTTTAGTTACCCTTTATTCCATATGAAGAATGAATCTGTTACTTCAGTCCAGTTATAATAGACACACTAGGAGTTTCATAAAATGTATGTTGTGAGTTCAAACAAACCTTATTTTTTAAAGACTACACGATTAATATACAGGTATTTTTCTTTTTCTTTTTTTAAATTCAGTTCTGTATCCAGCGATAATATCCACTCTTGGAGTGCTACTGTTAGCACTGTTACTATATGTGTTTTTTATCAGGTAAGTAAACAACATGAGACTTTTTCAGAAAACCTTCACACTTTACTGTAACAGTAAACTTTATTTGTCCTGATTCTATTTGACTAAATGCTGATAATTACTTTGTTTATTTGGGTCTTCGTTTGTTAAAAAAACACTTTTGCAGCTGATTTAATACTCAACATTGGTAACACTATTGATTAAATGTAATATCAATCAAATCTGTTCATCGACAGTCCATATGACATGCTACTGGTGGTTAATATTTGCATGTATTCATTTTCAAGACGTCTGTTTACATTGTCTGTTAACATTCAGTAATGCATGTACAACTGTATTATTGCTTGCTAGCAGACAATTAATCTATTCATGGTGTGAACTAAAATTTAAATAGTGGCAAAACTACGATGTATGAATTGTATGCATATATGCTTGATATTCTACTTTATTTTTTAGGGCTCAGAAGAGTCCCTGTAAAAATGAAGGTCACTTAACAGATGAAAACAACACAGTTGCAACAAGTCAGCCTCTAACTGAAGAAGGGAATGAGGTGCTTTAAGTTCCTTTTAACAGTGTTGACAAATGCTGATGCTTTTGTAACTATACAGCAAGAAGTAGATTATCTTTACCACTGATATTTTCTATGTAATTGTAGGAACCAAACACAACAGAAGAGTGCATTTATGCAAACGCTGATGGGCTGAGAGGGGCAGAAAATCTTCACCCTGCAAACATCGCTGGACCAAGCAGCACTGACTTTCCAAACTCTGGGCCAAACCATGCAGAAGGAGGATGCAAAAAATCAGACAAGAAAGAGGA